TGAGACACTGGCTGTTTTCTGTCTGTCCCAGCACTACCCGCACTCAGCTCTTTGGTGGCAAGCGTTGTCTTTCATCTTGTGAGTAGGTCTTTTATGACAGTGTCTTTTGTTGTTAAATCACCCTTCTGGCTCGCAGCCCCCTTTCTTGGTAGCACTGGGTATTGTATCCAGGGTCTTGCATGTGCTGAACAATCACTCTGCCACTGAGGTACATCTTCGGCTTCATTTTATTTGAAAACAGTTCTTTTAGATTTGTCTTACTTTCTGTGAGTTAGCGTTTTTCCCGCATGCGTGTATGTGTGTATATCGTTCCTGGCTCCTCTCTGGTGGCAGCACGCACCTTCACTAGTGAGCATCTCTCAGCTCCTACACCCTCGGCTTGAAGCTACTATTTTCTGAAGGGATGCTGCCAGTAGTTGGTAGTTGTGTCTGAGTGCTGGTGAAGTAAGAAGGTGGTTACTTTGTTTAAAAAATACAAGCTCTTGAAAAACCAAAAAACCATCCCTCCATCTTTCTCCCTCCCTCCCACAACTGAACCAAGGGCCCTGGGTACATGGGGCAGCCCCCCTTCCCTGGGGTCCTGGCATATGAGGCAGCCCTCTATCCCTGAGGCCCTAGGTACACAAGGCAGCCCCCCTTCCCTGGGGCCCTGGGTACACGAGGCAGCCCTCCATCCCTGCAGTACATCTCCAGTGACATCTTTACTCTTTATTTTGAGACACGTTTCATTAAATTGTTCAGGTTGGACTTGAACTTCCTCTGTCCTAGGCTGGCCTGGGGCTTGTGATCCTTCCTCATGCCTCAGACTAAGGTGACAGGAATGTACTGCCACCTACCTGAAGAAACGCATTTAATGATGTCTAGGGCTTGTGGTTCAGGAGGAGGAAGACGTGGACCTGGCTCTCTGAGGTCCCTGCGTGCTCTGTGTGCTGCTCCCCCAGGCTGCGTCTCTTCTGCAGAAGCTTCAGCTTGCTGAGACCTAGGACCGGAGCTGGGCGTGGTTTACTTAGGACATAGAGGTAGAGGTGTTGTGAGTTTGAGGTGTAGCAAGACTGTGCCACTGAAACAAAACCTGGAGTGTGAAGGGACCGCACCCCTCCCCTCAGCAGTGTGGAAATGAGCTGAAATGAGAATAGAGGCACCACTTTGTGGGCTAGGGAGAGGACTCTGGGCGAAGTGCTGGCTGTGCAAACATGAGGATCTGAGTTAAAATCCCCGGCTCCCCTGTAAACATCTGGCATGATGACGTTCTGAAGCCCATTACTCAGAGTGGGCAGCAGGTGGAGACCGGAGGATCCCTGAAGCTCGCTGGTCAGCCCAGTGGGATGGGTGAGCTCTGGGTCAGTGAGGACTTTAAGAAAATAGGTGAGAGGCTGGAGAGATGGCTCAGCGGTTAAGAGCACTGGCTGTTCTTCCAGAAGTTCTGAGTTCAATTCCCAGCAACCACATGGTGTCCCACAACCCTCTGTAATGGAATCCAAGTCTGTCTTCCGGTGTGTCTGAAGACAGTGACAGTGTACTCATGTATATAAAATAAATACATCTTTTTTTAAAAACAGAAAAGAAAAAAAATAAGGTGGAGGTGATCACAGAAAATGCCCAAAGTTGACATCTGACCTCCAGGTATACATGCCTACCCATGTGAACACATACACATACCCCAGATGCACAGGTGGAGGGATGGGGAAGCCTTGGCATTGGGCATAGGCAGGCTGGTATTTCCTGTGGTGTGTGGGATCCATAGCCGAATCCCTGGCTTCTACACATTAGGTGCCAGTTGCATGCACACCCCTAACCCTTTGTGGCTACTGGAATGTTTCTAGAGCCTAAACTGTACCAAATGGGGACAACATTTGCCTCTGTAGGGAGCCCCTGCCTGAGCCTGAAATTCTGGGTGTAAAGTGTGTATGAGTACCCCAGAATGTGTCTAGACGAAATGTTGGTTCAGTACGTGAGTGTGTCCTGAGGATCTGTGAGCACCCAGGGCATGCCGTGGAGACTCTGTGACTCCATGATAGTGAGTGGCACTTCCTCTAGGGCTCTTTGAGACTGACTGACTCTTGCTTAGGCACCCCTCTGGCAGTTGAGGGTTTTTGGGTCCCCAGTTCTGGGCTCCCAGCAGACATTGTTGTCTGTCTTCTGCTGTCCAGGCATTAGCCATGTGTTGGGGTGGACTGAGCAGATGTGCCAGGTCTCTCCCAGCCTTCTGATCAGGGGAGTCTCTGGATTGACTCAGTGACAAACTTTGTGGGCTTGGAGGTGCAAGCCTGTAATCCCAGATCTTGGAAGTCGAGGCAGGAGGATCCCAGCAAGTTCTAGAACTTGCCAGAACTACTGAATGAGACTCTGTATAAAAAGAAAAAAAAAAAAAGAAAGAAAAGAAAATCAAAAATCAAAGCCGAAAGTTAGTCGTGGTGTGGTGGCGCATGCCTGTCACCAGCTACCTACCCATAGGGCAGAGACAGGATGATCAGGAGTTCAAGGCCATCCCTCACTACATAACAAATTTGAGGCCAACTCTAGCTGGGAAAGACTGTAAATCAGCTGATGGTGGTGGTGCATGCCTTTAACTCAGCTCCTGTAACCTCAGCTACTCCAGCTACTCCAGCTACTCCGGATGATCCCAAATTCAAAGTTAGCCTCAGCAGCTTGGTGAAACCTTGTCTCTAAACAGCAACTACAACAGCAGGCTGGTGTAGCTCAGTGGCAGAGTCCTTGCCTCCCACGTGTGACACAGGTTCAGGGTTCCGTCCTCTGGGGAAAAGATACACACACACAGTAGTGTGTGCGCGCTCCTGTCTGTCTGTCTGTCTGTCTGTGTCTAAGCCTCAGACTCAAACCGGGAGAGAGAGAGATAGGCCACAGTGAGGGACATGGCCAACATCAGCCCTGGTTGACATCTCAGCAGGGACATCGTGGACCTTTGTGTCTGTGGGGTTTCCAGAGTGAGGCTTTCCAGGTGTTGTCTGGGGTTGTGCAGATACACAGACTCGACATCCAGCTAGCACAGCTCCTGACTGGCTTAGCCTTGGGGACGTGGTCAAAGCATAGGGCCCTAGGCGTCCAGACTCGTAACCTTCCGAGCTGTCAGCTCGCAGCGGTGTACGCTGCCATGCTTGTGGTAGCTTGTCAGCTATAGGAAGACAAATGCACCCTCTCTCTTAGAACAAGCTCACAGGTGTCACTTTCAAACCCATCCTCCTTTTTCTTCTTGCTCTTCGTGTGTGCATGTGTGTGTACGTGTGCATAGGGAGGCGAGAGGTCGGCATTGTATGTCTTCCTCCATTGCTCCCTGTTACTTTGAGATGTGGTCTTTCACTGAACCCGGAGATGGCCGGTTCAGCTGGGCTGCCTGGGCTCGTGAGCCCTGGGGATCCTCGTCTCCTCCTTTCTGGGGCTGCGATTACAGATGCTAAACGCTGCACCACCTGGCTTCTTCTTTCTTCCTATTTTTTGTTTTTTTGTTTGTTTTTAGAGACAGCATCTCTATTATATAGCTGTCCTGGAACTCACAAGATCCACCTGCCGCTGCCTCTGCCTCCCAGGTGCTGGGATTAAAGAAAGGCCTGAGCCACCGAGCTAGGCCTGTGGGTCTTTCTCTTGTGTGGGTGACGAGAAGCTAAACTTACGTCCTTACTCTCATGCGACACGTTAGTTATTTTTCCTTTTGCTATAATAAAATTCCCTGACAAAGGCAACGTAAGGACGCTGAAGCTCCAGGGTGAGAGGTCAAGGCAGCAGGATCCTGAGGCGGCTGGTCACATCACACTCACAGCAGGAAGAGAGAGGTCTGTGGACGCTGCTGGCCATTCTTCACTTGCACAGTCTAGGATCCCAGACAGGGAGTGGTACAGTCTGCAGTGGGCACATCTTCCCACTTCATTCAAGATGCTCCGCTCCAGATGTGTTCAGAGGCCCATCTTCCAGGTTGCCATGGATCTGTCTGTTGACAGCTCATTGCACACAACAAGAGCCGTTGGGCTGACTCTAGACCTTCTTTTACTCTTTCTTGCTGTCTCCTACACATTTCCAAATAGGAACTCCAGCTGAGGACAGGGCCTTGCTGGGCAGGTGCTTGGGCAGCGTGCACAGACTTCAGACATTCACCCCTTCCCCCCACCTACCAACCTTCCTTCCATCCTTTCTCCCTTTCTTATTTAGTTTTTGAGGCAGGATCTTGCTATGCAGCAATCCTCTTATCTCAGCCTCCCGCATGCTGGCCTTGCGGGTTGTCACGTGCCGTATTTGACATGGATACCAAACTCTGTCTCTTCTTTTCTCTTTGGTACCAACTGCTCAGCTGGAGGAGAGAGCGGAGCAGATCCGAGCCAAGTCCCGCCTCGTCCAGGCCGAGAGGGAGAAGATGCAGATGGAGCTGAACCACAAGCGGGCCCGAGTGGAGCTGGAGAGAGCGGCCAGCGCCAGTGCCAGGGACTATGAGGTGGGTCCAGCCAGTGTCAGTGCCAGGGACTACGGGGTGCGTGCCAGCGCCAGCACCAGGAACGACGAAGTGGGTCCCGCTTGCCCCGGGGGGCACAGGGCACTCTTCTGTGGCCCTCTAATGCTAGCAGGTTGGAGAAGGGTGGCCTGATGTGGGGTGTCTGCAGAGGGGCTTTTGGCTGGGTCATGTGCTCAGTGGTCCTGTGGTATAGGCAGACCTGCCTCGGACTGGCTTCTGCTTCCTCTTTTCTCCAGAAGAATCGTAGTGATCTGAGGTATGGGTAGGGTGACAGGCTCAGGAAATCTCAGGCTTGCAGAGAATCTGGAGTCTGTGTTGTGTCCTACCAGAGCCTCCTTCTGTAATGGGCCTGGACAACTCGGATAGTGCATCCCTGGGCCCTGGGGATGCACAGTGCAGGAAACCATAGTTTACTATTTATGTGTGTGTTGCTGTGGATGTACCTGCAAAGGGCATAGGGAAACCTTGGCATCATCCTTAGGAATGCCACCCGTCTCCTTGGAGACAGGGACTCTCATAGGGTGTTGGCCAGTGAGCCTCAGGGATCCACCTTTCTGCCTCCCACAGGTAAGATGAAATGTGCACCCCATTATACTCTTGACTTTTTACGTGGGTTCTGGGATGAAGCTGAGGTCCTCAGGCTTGCAGAGCAAGCACTGCTGACCAAGCCGTTCTCCCAGCCCTTGCTTCAGGTTTATTACGGGCTTTGCTGGGGCTTTCTAGGACTCTGATTGGTATGTGGGTGTCAAGGTGACTAAGGCTGTGCATTAGACCTCAAAATCTGTAACCTTCCTCCCTTCCCTGTTATGCCATCTGCCCTGTTCTTGTCTGATGTGCCCATCACAATTTTCCTGTCCTTGTGGGAAGGCTGGCCTCTTCCCTGATGTGCTGCTGGTTAGGTGGATTTAAGTCTGGGGTGTAGAGTGCTGGCCCTATTGTACTGTCCTGGCTGTCTCCTTGTTAGGGTTCTGTCTTCCTTCCTTCTTCCCTCCTCCCTCCCTCCCTCCCTCCCTCCCTTCCCCCCCTTTCCCCCTTGTTGCTGTGACAGAGTACCAGACAGAAACAACTTTAGTAAGGAATGGCTTGTTCTGGCTCACAGTGGTGCAGCCCATCATGGCAGGGAAGGCGTGGCAGCAGGAGCGTGAGGCAGCTGCTCATGTCGCATCCACGGTCAGGAAGCAGAGGAGGTGGATGCTAGGCTCTTCACTTTTCTTTTTATTCAGTCTGAGACCAGACTGGGACCAGACTGCCTGTTTCAGGGTGAGTCTTGCTTCCCAGGTAAAGCTCTGTGGAAACATCTTCATAGACATCCCTGAAGGTGGGTCTTCTAGGACAGTCTAAATCTTGCTACATTGACAGTCAAGATTAACCAGAATGAGTAGATGGGTGGCACTCTGGCCTGTGTCCTGTGCTGGTGTCCTGATCTTGCCTCTTAGGCAGAGCCTGTCTGCTGCCATGCATCTCCAGTGTGCAGTGCTGATGTGGCCTCATGGGCGTGGAGGACACTTGAGTGAGTGAGGGAAGGCTCCTGGGGAGAAGCAGGGACTGCAGTGATGGGAAAGTGAGGTCTTGGCCCTCTGTCTTCTCAGAGGCTTGTCCTTCTCCATCCTGCTCAGAGATACTCTAAGGGTTGGAGTGAGCCAGGAGGTACTGGAGATGTCAACTGTCCCTCGGAGCCTTGACATCTACAATGGCTTTTCTGGGACAGGCCATTTGATGGTGGGTAGATTAGACAGGTCAGATGCCCTTTCCACTTTGAATAGTACTTGGTGGTGAGGTGGAAGGTCAGAAAACCTGCCTGCTGAATGATCTCCTTTCTGTAGTGTGCTGGCAGGGCCCGGAGAGTGCTCTCTGGCTCTCCAGAACTCTGATACATC